GCGTTGAACACCGGGCACTTTGAGGTTAAATTCCTGGTTACACATACCTACAGGCTCAGGGATTTGTTCGTTCCCAAGGAAGGAAATACTGACAACAGTGAGCTTGTGTTTGGTAAGAACATGCAGATCTGCTCTTGACCCTCATTCTAAATCAGTTTTCCATATGGCAGAGGCAGAGGGGGGTCTGAATGAGACTCGCATTTATACAGACGTCAGCTTTTCAGAACATCCGCTGCTTTACACTGCAGACATACTGTGCCTCCGCGCAGTTTTATCAGGAGTAGATGTGCACGGACAATAAACTAGAGATGCTGACAAATCACATGTGCATCCAATATGCTACACTGAAAATAAAAGCCTAACTGAAGAAATAACTGCACAATTATGGTGCATGGGAATCAACTGGATCCTACAGCTGACCTGAATTTGCCTGTTCCACCAAAAACTATTCTACAATTTGAGAAGCACAACTTCAACGTGCCTTGGTTGATTAATGTATTTGAGGCTGACAAACAGATTAAAAAATTGCCTTTATAATGTAATAAGTGCCCCTGAATAGTACTAGTTCCATGTCTGACTCCAATAATAGCTGCTGTTGAACTACATCCTGCGGTTTGAGTTGCACAACTCCATAGAAACGGTAAAAGCAGAAGACAAAAACATTACTTCAGACATAAAAGCGGGAGGTATAGTACAGGCTGAATAATATTCCCAGAGCTCCAATTTTCATATTGACCTCACAGTGTCCCATGTGTGCTTAACTTCCACTGTTGAGAACACTTTAACAGGCATACTTAGGCCTGTAAAATCTAGGTGCACTGCATGAAAAAGGAAACAGTAACTCAAACTGTGGACAACGCTTCAGTGAAATAACGTCACAGAGAAGTACAGAGTGAGAATATGAGCAAAAATCCTCGGAGGTCAACGTTTTTCATCATACATCTTTTGAGAATGTAGACCTTTTCCGGTATTTTTTAGTGCAAGGAATTTCAGGCTGGCGCTCAGGAGGAAATAATTAAACCCAGAGAGTGAGTGTGTGTGTGTGTGTGTGTGTGTGTGTGTGTGTGCACGTCATCTTGTATTGTATTTTGGTGTATGAGATTAGCAGCGTCTTCCAGGCGCGCTCCTGGCTCTGAGTGGAGAAAAAAAAACTACTCTACATAATGACTATCTGTCTGTAAATTGTTACGAGGGGGATCTGTTTACACTTCAGCATGGATGGAGGAGTTCTGCAACGCACACACACACACGCATAACCTTAATCAGTCTGGAACAGAGCAGGAGCCACTCAGCCCTGTGGGTCCTTCAGGACCACGTGTGTGTACACAAACCGGCTACAGTCCATCCCCCGCTCCACTGAAATGCTGCTACCTTGTTTCACAGCTGAACTTTCTCCTCTACTGTCTGGCAGACTGTAAAACGTACTGGGCCATTGTAAATGTACTATAAAATGACTTCTCTTTCCAGTCCTTAGAAAAACCTCCTTCCTTAACAACCCTGTTATGTTACGGAGAAAAAAAAAAAAAACATGTGGAAAGAAGAGTTTAAATCAGAGGCATCTATTTCTCCCTAGGAAAGGTTAGTTGGGAAAGTACACTCCTTTTTAATTATAACAGCTACGCACACATTTGAGAGCTGCTGCTTAATTACATAATGCATGTTAACAAGCGTTTTATTCACAACCACTCAAGTCCTGCTGTTGCCTCGTGCCAGGTTTCTGCCTACTGCAATTCATTTCAAAATATATTTCTCTTTTAAGTTGCCCCTTTTGACAATTAAGCTTTAAACACACCTAATTCACACAATCTTGATGTTGTTAAGTACGAGCAAGGCTCCCTGTTATCAGCAAAATCCATGTGACTACGGCAGTATTTGTAAAACGAATAAATATTAGAAAAGGAGAAGTGATGTTGGAAACAATGCCAAAATAACTCCTAAGTGCATGAATAAAAAAACCAAACACATTTTACACTAATGTCAGGGTGAAAGTCTTTGACATATTTATAATCCAACACTAGAGATAAAATAAGTATTTCACTGCTGCAGAGATGGTCTTTTCATTAAACTGAGCTGCAGTGGAAAGATGCAAATACTTTTGAAATTGGTGCTACATGACCAGAGATAACAGAGAAAAAGGGCTGTGACATTTGCTTTTGCTAAAGAGGCAGAACATCTACAACTACCAGAATACAGTGCACTGCATCGAACCAATAAATGCTCCCAGTGGTGGGTGACGTAGTGCGAGCTTCTCTGTTGTGACACAGGAAACAAATATGGCAGACGGCTGTTAATCTTGAATTATAGTTTAACAGTAAGCTAAATTACGTTTCTGAAAATATTTTAGGAACACAGTAACAGAACCCATCCATCCATTTTCCTGCGCTTATCCAGGGCTGGGTCACGGGGGCAGCAGACCGAGCAAAGCATCCCAGACGTCCCTCTCCCTAGCAACGCTTTCCAGCTCCTCCTGGGGGACCCCGATGTGTTCCCTGGCCAGACGGGATACATAATCCCTCCAGCGTGTCCTGGGTCTGCCCCGGGGCCTCCCACCAGAGGGATGTGCCCAGAACACCTCGAACTGGAGGCACTCAGGAGGATCCTGATCAGATGCCCGAACCACCTCAACTGACCCCTTTCGACGCGAAGGAGCAGCGGCTCTACTCACTCACAAGTTCCTCACCCTATCTCTAAGGCTGGGCCCAGCCACCAAACGGAGGAAACTCATTTCGGCCACTTGTATCCGTGATCTCATTCTTTCAGTAATTACCCAGAGCTCATGACCATAGATTAGGGGTTGGGACGTAGATGGACCAGTAAATAGAAAGCTTCGCCTTATGGCTCAGCTCCCTCTTCACCACGATGGTCCGGTGCAGCACCCGCATCACTACAGAATCCGCACCAAACCACCGATCCATCTCATGCTCCATTCTACCCTCACTCGTGAACAAGACCAAGAGATACTTGCCTGAGGCAGTAACCCTTTCCAAACCCGAAAGGGGGCAATCCACCAGTTTCCAGCAGAGGACAATGGCCTCAGACTTGGAGGTACTGACTCTCATTACAGAACTCTCAGTAACAACTTGATTTGTATTCTATCAACACTGCTTACTTTTACAGTTTACATCTCAGGTTTTTCAGCCTCCACTTTTACAATCCATGAAACAGTGTGGCACCCACTTCCTGTCCATTAAACCTCATATTACAGCCAAACAGTGCCCTAAAATATGTTTCTTGAAGACATTTTAGGTAAGAAAAAGGCAATGCAGTGGCAGAATCCTGGTTTATATTCATATCAGCACTGCCTGGTTATACAGATGTATCTGAGTTTGAGAGTGATAAAAAGAGAGACACGGCTGTCTCTCGAGCTGCTGCTTTACTCTGTGTCTGTGGTGGCGGGCAGACAAAAATGTGGTAGTTGAAGCAACAGCCCAAGAGCCAGCAAAACTTGTCATCCAGAGGATTTGAGCTGGGAGATCTGGGCGTTGATTAGATGGAGGGAAGTTTACCACAGTTGATTTACACATACTACAACTAATTATAATAAGGGTTTATATGTGAGAATATATAGAAATAGGACATTGAGTCGGTAGTGGACCATATAAGATGTCATTTTGGAAGGACTTCACCTACAGTTTAGTTTTTCTTTACCTTTGGTATGTTGAAACGGCCACTACACAAGTGATTTTGGGGGACTGAGAGCTGAGATATGAAGATACACTTCAGGATTTTGATGTGATGTGACAAAGGTGTGTATCCAGTTGAAACGTGATGTTCATAATTCTGCATTTGGTCACAGTATGGACAGCGTCATCCGCGACAAGCTTCATCAGGCCTGCTTGTCTGCTATTCATGTACAAGCATGTATCACTCGCTGCTTTGCCAAGTAGACAAATTACTGTTCTCAGATACCGCTTTGAAAACGCAGTTACTCATGACAGTGTTTGTTCAACCTGTTAGTTCTTTGACAGCTACGTTGTGATTTATGGCCTCCTATAAACATCATCTCTTTGATCAATTAGAAAGCAATCATTAGTTTCAGACCGGTGCAGTCCGATCAGTAAAGGCTTTTTTTTGTCAGCTGTTTAAAGCATTACCTGTAATTGTTTTTTGATCTTATCAATACAACACTACTGACATCATGTGTGCATACACTTGGTACACATTCTAGTTTTCAAGTACATCACTGAACTGAAGGTTCTACGTAAAAGCCCCTGATACACTTTAACAAACACTCAGCGGCCACTTTAATAGGTACACCTAGCTAAACTGAACTGTGCTGTGTTATATGGAGGGGTGTTTATTATTTCGGCTCCCTTCATTGATATAAATTAGGTAGACAAAATACTGGAAACACCTGTCATTATGACACAATATAATGTGCAGGGTTCCCACATTTTAATGGATAAAATTTCAAAACTTTTCCATGACTTTTCAAGGATACATAGTATTTTTTCTTGCTCTATTTGCCCAACATTTTTCACATATATCAGATTCAAACTTTATTCAAACATAATTTCAGCTGGAGAGACACAACGCTTCGAGAACATGAAGAAAAGCATGTGATAGTAAGCAAAACATCACACATCAACGTATATTGGAGCTACGTCATCAGCTACAGAAAATAAATTTGCTTTTATGTTACAGGAAGGTGGAAGGTAAGATTTTAATTATGCACAACAAAATTCTCAGACTTTTCCAAAAAAGTCATAGATAGTTATAGGGAACCCTGAATATCACAGCACCACTAACTACATCCTTCATAATGACCATAAACATGAATCAAAATCTATTTAATAAAGATTCATTCAAAACTAAACATATTCTTCATGAAGGATAAACTGCAGAAGTCTTTTGCTAGACTGCATCAGTTTTACTGTTGCTTGTGCACCTAATAAACTGGAAAATAAGTGCATTTCTTTAGGACAAATCTCTGTAGAGCACTTTATCTGTTACATGAAATAAAAACAAATCTGGATGGATGGTATCAAGGTTAGACTCACCGTTGAGGAAAAGCTCTTCTTGAATGGCTTGTCTGGCAGCAGGAGAGAAGCAGCGTTTCTTGAGCCAATCTGCGTCAAACACACTGGTGTGCTGGTCGGGCCAAACAACGGACACCTGTGGAGAGACAAAAAGCTCATTGATCCCAATTGACCAAAATATTTCAGCTCTTTTTTGTCTCCTTCTTTCTTTCAATTAGACACCCTTCTTTACTGACTGGTAATGATGTGTTCAAAGTATTTACTGGGGATTCTGTTTGTCTGCCCCTTAAAAGGTGCTCTTGGTTTGTAAAACTGAGAAAGAAACATTGCTTATTCATTTTAAGGGAGATTCTCTACGTTCACCATCTGGTTCTCCAATACTTGTGGTGTCTTTTGGCCAATGCCATCATCTAATGTTTTATACAGCCAGAGGCAAGCATGAAACTAAAATTGTTCTGGTACTTAAATACATGTTTACTATAATAAATTATCCAGTAAATCTTGGTACAAGAAACAGGAGATAGAAGAAAAAAACGTAATGCATTCAATTTTTATCAACAGAAGCAAATGTTTAGATGCACTGTCCCAGCAGTTTGTTTATAGCTGTGTCCCACTTCAGGTGCCAAACAATCTGAAGGACACAGTTCAGAAAAGGTGGTTCATCTGGAAGACTAAAAGGTCAGACTGATTTCGGGCTTCTGCTAAAGTTAGATGGCCTGATCGTTCATCACCAGGCAGTTGTTCTCTTACAGTAAAAGCTGTAAATGCTGCTCCTTCACTAGAAGAAGTCCAATGATACCTAGGTACAGTACGAGTTATGTTGTTCAACTTTAACACACAGTAATAAACAAAAACTACCCACTAACATAAAAAGTTGTTGAGGAAACATGGCATCAGTAATAAGGATAGTACCATGAAAGTATCACATATTCCAATTCTCCCATATGAGAGGCTGGGACACTCAAAGGTTTGGTGTTTCTGCTTGAAAAATGACTTCAACAACTTCTCAATGATCAAAATAGCAGCAAGTTAATTTGTTTATGTAGTTTGGATAATTGGTTATGACAATATTCTATACACCAGTTTCATATAACGTATCCACTGACTGAGTTAATGCAACCAACATGTCCATTACTACCTTCCAGTGGAACTGTAAAACTATGTGGAGGCAAAAATACTTAAAGTAAGCAAGTGTTAAACCAGGACGTAGGCCATGTAAAATTTATTGGACATTTACACGGCCAGTCTGGGTAATTTAAACATTTATATTTTTCTCTTAAAGGTGCAGTTTGTAGGTTTTAGGGGATACATTAGCAGAAAGGAAATATAATATTCATGTCTATGTTTTCACTCACCTGAAACTAAGAAACATGTTTTCGTTAACTTAAAACCACCTCACAGGTGAGGGGAACAGCATTGATCATCTCATTACAGTGCAATGTTCTGCTGGGAAACCTTACTGGCATTCATATGGGTGCCACCTGACACACCTCACTATTACACCACTGCAGACCAAGTTAGGGGTGGGAATCTCTAGGCACCTCATGATTCGATTCAATTCCGATTCTGAGGGCAACGATTTCGATTCTAAAATGAGCCAATAAGAAAATTTACACTAGATATTGAAAAACATTTTTGTAATGAAGCTGGGAATACATATCCAGTGCATACAAACTGTAGGCATATTACTTACTGTAGTTGAGATGACTACACTCTACCAGTCTCCTCTGGTCCATCCTCCTCATCCACAAACCTCAATGGGACTCTCCTGTCCCTCGTTAACCTCCTCGACATTTCTCCTCCAGTATTTACAAAACTATAACTGACTATAACTATCTATGAACCATAAAAACACGAACTACTGCAAAAAAAGATGAACGATGGCAAAACTACAAACAATAGTGAAAACACGACGAAAACATGGCATAAAAAAACTCAAAAGCTCTCAAAAAAACACAAATACTATTATTTACAACACTAAATATTATTTACAAAGAAAACGCCACCCAAACTCCACTAAAACTCACCAAAACTCTGTTAAAACACCACTAAATCACTCCCAACTTGCACTCGTCAGCTGTCACGCTCCTCCTGCTGTGCCCACTTCCCTCCACGCCTTCACAGGTAATGTCGTCACTACTGTAAGCTCCGCTTCTCAGCTTTCAGAATCCGTTGGAATTACGTCGACAGCGTGAATGGTCAAGGAGTTACAGTAATTTGATTATAAATGTAAAAATAACATTAAAATCGACTGGTATGGTGTGGTACATTGTCATGCTGGGGGACCACTGCCATTGGGCGGTGCCGTTGCCATGAGGGGGCGCACCTGGTCTGCACTGGTGTTTGGGTGGGTGGTGAGTGTCAAGAGGCATCCACATAAATGTCAGGTCCCAAGGTTCCCAGCAGAACAATGCATTGTAACAAGATGATCAGTGTTACTCACTTCACCAGCCAGTAGTTTTATTGCTTTGGCTGATTGGCGTATATCTACATACAGTGTGGATCCTCCTCCACAGAGTCCGCCATGTTGTTTCTACAGTACCCCAGAAGAAACACTGGCTCAAGGTAGGGCCATTCGTGTTTTTGCATTTTCACATTTGTGATGCACGTTTGGCACACGGGAGAAGTTTAAGTTGGTTGCAACTTCACTGCTAGATGTCTCTTAATCCCACACACTAGACCTTTAACATAGAATCGTAAACTGAGTGTGTGGATCCTGAAAAACACAAGTCAGATAATGGCAGCAACCTACCTTGTTATCATTGGTGACCTCCACAACATCAACCCCTGTGTAGATATCAAGATTGGACATCAACAGTTTCCGGGCCTGAGCCGATTCCAAAGTACACAGTGGACACTGGCAGTTATCTCTCAGCCAAGTGAATGGGTACAGGCTGTGGCCTCCATCCTCCCACTCCACCTCCATCATCCTCTCTTCATCCAGAGCCCGGACGTGCCTCACTGAGTGCCTGGCCAAAGGGACGGAGGCAGACCCCAGTGTGTGCTGCCCACGAAGCTGCACTGAAGTCAGACAAGAGGGAAGTGGACCTGCAGCCCGCCCTGGTCCACGACAGGCCCTCAGAGCCTGGCAGGCCATGGCAGACGTGCTCCTCTGAAGAGCAGGCAGGGCCAGACGTGCAAATTTACTCATCCACATTTCTGAATGGTTCCCTTCAAGCACGATGTCTCCAAATATAAAAGGGCCACCAACTCTGTAGTTAAAGAGAAAGGGTAATAAAGTAATAAAATGATACAATGATTTACTAATATAAAATGATATACTACTGAAGTATGCCATAAAATCAAACTTTATTACATCTTAAGCCAATGCTAGGAAGGTAAAATAATGCACTAAAATAGTTGAAAAAAAAAACTTAAATTTTAAGTAATATCTATGAAACACACCATTTAAGAAGAACAATCATGGTCCTAGAGTTGTTTTTGAACAATGCCAGATGATCAGGTCAAAATGTGAACTTTTTCAAGGAGCTCTGGGAGTTGTAACTGGTCACTGTGCCAACCAGTATTTTCTAAGCCCGGTCTGCTGACTTTGTGTTGGTGGGATCTGGGCAAAGCTGCGGTGCAAAACAGCAGCATTATTTTCAAAAGACGCTGTCGCCCATAATCCTGCACCTGTGCACGGTTCTGTTGAGCCGTGCCAAACACATTAGTCGCCTCAAAATGATGTAAACTAAAACTAGGGCTGCAACTGACAATTATTTTCATAACTGTAATTATCTTGTTTAACTGAATGATTGTTTGGTCTTAAAAGAAATCATGATGTTATTGTTTTTTGTCTGTCCAACAGTCCAAAACCCAGATATTCAATTTACTACTACGTTAAATGTCCAGTGTAGGGTTTAGAGTGATATATTAGCAGAAATGACATACAGTGTAATAAAATCCTTAGTCTTTTACAACCCAAACACTGGCTTCAGAGAGGGCCATTTGTGTTTTTGCATCGGCCATTGTAGTAAGCAGCTCCTCTGTGATAAGCCAAATAGAGTCCAAATTACCGGGTCTGTTTCTTTTTGAGACGAGGAGATCTCTGTGTATAATACAGCTCCCAGTAAAAACCTCCAAAATATTAGCATCTTAAGTTATCAGGGGGGGAAAGGGGAGCACACATTAGCAGGTGCTGGGCTAGCCGTGTCAGAAAAACATTGATTTGTAGCATGAAACTGCTTTAATCAAGTGTTTTTACCGGTTTTCATGACCTGTTCTTTTAGTTTTGGGAGGTAAGAGACCTTTGCTAAATCACGCTCCTTTAACACAAACTGGACAGTCACAGCATAGGATCTGCCAGCTCCAACAAGGCACATACAGCCAGCAGCAGCAGCAGCTACCCACCGTCCGCCACCAGCACAACGTGAGGACGCAAACAGAAGGCTCAGCAGGGATGGGGCACTTGCTGCAGCAAGCAAACACGCTGTCTGCTGTGCTTCACATTCTAAAACCAACTGCCAGCGATTTGACCAGCTGAGTTGCAGGTGACACCATCGGCCGGCTCAGACCAGCCAGTTCACACCACTGCAACCTTTCTCTGAAATGTTCTAAGAAGGTTTCGTCTCGCCGCGAATCTTAGGTCTGAACTGGGCTTTACAGTGTGGGCTCCATGCTAGATCTGACAGCTTGACGGACTATCACATAGGGACAAGGCTTAGCAAAGGGTCAATTTGGCTCCCTGTAAAAACCACCTGAACAATGAACGCCTAACGCCTAGTTCACATTACATGATTTTCACTGCAATTTTGACGTCGCAGAGGATCTTGAGAGCCACCTTGGGTCGGAGGTGAGTCAGCTGATAGTCTGCCACAACGAGTCCTCATGTGTGAACAAGCCTACGAGCAAGTCGCCCCCTCGTCTGTGACTGGGACTGGATATCTGGCATGCTAGAAAACTGGAGAAGGCTGACACGACTGACAAAGAGCATCAGCCAATGAGAGGCGGGATATGTCCCACGTCAGCACGCAGAAGGACGGAAGAAATGTGAGGAGGACAAGCCGCAGGGTTGCCAGGTCTGCTTACTAGCCGCGACTTTGGGCTTGTTTCTAAAGTGGAGTTGCTTTTTTGGGCTTGCTCTCTAAACGTCACCTTCCTCTATATATATCCGTCTAAGAAGTTATTTAAACGCATGATAGTCGCTTCTTTTGGGCTTGTTTCCATAGCACTGGTTGCTTGTTTCTCTCCCAAGATCTGGCAACACTGACAAGCTGGCTGGCAAGCAAGAACAACAATGGTGGCGTCCACAGGATCACCGGGAGCGCGTTGTGTTGGACCCAGGATAATAAAGAATATCCATGCCTTTACGATGTGTCGTCTCCAAGTTTAGTGACGTCATTGCATTATCTGGGGCTCTGACGGCGAGGGCTCGGTGGAGAAATCTTGTGGTGTGCACACACATGTCGTAACACAGTTGGCGAGACTCCCGCTGACAGAAACACGTTGCCAGGTATGAACACTCAAAAGATTATGATAGTCTCTGCGACGCAAAATCAGGGTGAAAATCGTGTAATGTGAACTAGGCGTAAGGAACACTAATCAGGAGAAATTTCAGCTGGTTGCAATCTGCAATCCTCACCACTAGATGCCACTAAATCCCCCTTAATCTTACACACTGGTCCTTTAATCAATCACCAAGACAGCTGACAGTTAATCAAGTAGCCAATTAACAAGAAATAATCATTATATATCTCTCTAATTCCACAAATAGCTGATTTATGTTGTTAATTTGATTCAGTCAGTGTGACCTTCTGTTTGCACTGCTCCAAGGACAAAGCTTTTGCGTAGCTTTCAATATTCAATGCATGCTCTTCCTCATTATGTAAGTGTGGGTGTGTGTTGGCATTTGTCTCATGGTAAACAAGGCAGCTCTCAACAAACGTCTCACTTAAGAAACTGCTTTATTTCGGTTTCCTTTGACTTTAACTATGAACTCGGGTATTGCAGCTGTGACATCACTTCCAGCGGTTGGGTTTGAGTTAGCACAAAATGTACATTCATTCAAACAAGCTGGAGGAGTGTGAAGCAAAACTACCACTCGTGTAGTTCACTATCACTGAGACTGACAACACGTTTAAGTGGTAGTCTTTCATTTTAACATGTCACAAGGTGTCTGGTCTGCCTGGGAACCGAAATAAGTCTTTTGCTTTGAAGCAGCTGTAACGTTACTGGTTGTTAGCTAACTGTTAGCTAGTTAACGTAAACACAAACACCCGGCTCTTGCTATTTACATCCTGCTCTCTGCTCCAAAGCTAACAGAGAAGCTAACCTTTCACAGCTGGGCTCTTTAACGCTCTGCTTTAAAGTTTATGTATTAAAGTGCCGTCAAAAGAAGAGTGAAAAGTGTTTGCCAGTAACAGATGTTACCTCTGATATCGTGACAACGGGTTCCTCTTCCCCACGAGCGTCGCCTCCGTCAACACAAACGCCAGCTGTCAGTGTGTGTGAGAGGGAAAGTAGGTGAAAGGTTGACCGGGACACCGGGAGGCTGGGCGGGATGACATAATCACAGAGAGGGCATGACGCTGCTCTACTTTCAGTCCCATCTGATAATCAGAGTCCTGAAACAGCTCTTTGTGTTTTAAGAAACAAGTCTGACTTTACAAACTTACGATCAGGAAGAGCAGGTTCTTCTTTGTTAACTGACACATCTGGGGGGCTGCTGGGGGGATGGGCTTAGGTTTAATGGGATCTGTAGGGCCTCTAACAGAATATTGGTAATTTATGGTTGCACCAACAAGGATTAATTGAATCAAACATAAGCTCTAATCAGAGTTAAGTTAAACTAGTTGCACCATTAAATATTAATCTCAGTTTATGAGGGAAAAATAGGAAGTACTATGGACTTTTACACTGAGTGAGCCAGCCAGTGGTTGTTTTTTAACTTTATGTGACTGTTTGCCCTATCCATGATGGGCATCTGATTTGCCTTAAAGGGATAGTGCACCCAAAAATGAAAATTCAGCCATTATCTACTCACCCATATGCTGAGGGAGGCTCAGGTGAAGTTTGAGAGTCCTCACATCCCTTGTGGAGATCCAAGGGGAGAGGAGGTAGCAGCACAACTCCACCTAATGGAGGCTGACAGCGCCCCAGATTAAAATGTCCAAAAACACATAATTGAAACCACAAAATATCTCCATACTGCTCATCCGTAGTGATCCAAGTGTCCTGAAGCTCTGACATAAAAAGTTGTTTGGAAAAACATCATTTAAACTCTGTTTTTAGCCTCATTGTAGCCTGTAGCTCTAACTGCCTCTCTGTACACTGAGCTCACGTGTGCGCGCTTGCGTGAGACCGTGAGACATGGGCACCGCCTTCATGTGTGTTCATGTGCTTTCGCTGGTCTCGCGGGGAAGCGCGCACACGTGAGCTCGGGGCACAGAGAGGCAGTTAGAGCTACAGTCTACAATGAGGACACTTGGATCACTACGGACGAGCAGTATGGAGATATTTTGTGGTTTCAATTATGTGTTTTTTGGACATTTTAATCTGGGGCGCCGTCAGCCTCCATCAGGTGGAGTTGTGTTGCTACCTCCTCTCCCCTGGGATCTCCGCAAGGGATGTGAGGTGGATTTTTGGGTGCACTATCCCTTTAAGGCATGTGGTAGTTAATTGTAAAAATAAATCAGGTGCCCATCATGGATAGGGCAAACAGTCACATAAAGTTAAAAAACAACCACTGGCTGGCTCGCTCAGTGTAAAAGTCCATGGTACTGTTCAGGCAGGCAGTCCATAAGTGCATCCAAGGCACTCTGACTGTAGTTAAAAATCCTTTATTGATTCACGCACAAACTAACACATCTCGACAAGAGTCTTCATCAGGGTATAATTTTTACTAGAACTGATGAAACTGATGCAGAGTGCAAACACCGTCAATGCCCTAGCTATCTCCAGCATGTTTTCAACTGTTATTTTTAAAGCAGAAGTTCAACATTTTGGGACGTCAGTGTAATTTTGATTTTATTCCCTGATGAGGACTCTTTAGTCAAAACATGTTGTGCAAAAACGTAATCCTATGTTACGTCTTAGCATATATATATCGGTGAAGATTCTCGGTCATCCAGGTTGTGGTAATCGTAAGTGCTATAGAACTATTAACCGTACCGCTTCTGTCGCATCTTATATTCAGTTTATCTCAGACTGGAAAAATGTCAATAACTTTCTCTTCCCATTGGTATGGGTAAGGTATCAAATATTTTCAAACCAAAAGACTCCAGTCCAAGTGAGGTCACGTGTCATTGGTGTTGAAGTCCAAGTCAAATTGCAAGTCATTTTCAATTTTGTCAAGTTGAATCTAAAGTCATCAAATTTTTGTCTTGAGTTGAGTCCAAGTCTTGTGACATGAGTCCGCACTTCTGCCCTTTTGCATGCTAAAATTTGCTTATTAGCACTGAGCACAAGGAACAACTGATTTAACAATAAAACCCAGAATAAGCAAAGTTAAAACCTTGACCTGAGAAGTCCTCACCAAAGTCATTAGAATTTATCCTCTAGGCCTTAAATTGTCTTAAAGGGGAGACCGGGGCAATTGGAACAATTTTCTGTTTTAATGTAATTTCTCAAAAATCTGTATAGCTATTTGGATAGAATTTTTTTTATGTAGATAAATTATATTTGTGTTAACAGTCATTAATTGTTTTTCCAAGCAATGTCAGTGTCATAATATTAATAGAAACAACAGAAGACAGATGTTACATCTGCCCCCTCGCTCAGGGTGATTGTGACAAATAATACCTTCATATTAATACCAATAAAAAACAATAACTCCAAATGATGTCATGTCATGTGTGTCAAGAAGGATGCCTTGTCTTTTACGGCAAACCAAATCTACCTACGGGTAAGGTAACGATACCTTACTAAAGAGAACCTGTAGAGTTTCATAGTTACGGTATGCCTCTTTTATGATTGGTGCAAGTTGAGACGTTAAAAATGCCCCATGAATAAACTATGTAAAAATAAAACCCAAACCAGGTTCTGAGTTTCAATACTAGGCTACTACAAATCCAAAAATAACATATGAAAAAATATGTTGATTTTCAGCCAATGTGGCAACATTTAGACAGTGTGTTCAGACAACTTATGATTCATAGACACTAAAGATTTTGCAAGAATGAGAAATTGCCTCTTAGTGGGAACTGAACCAGGATCACCTGACTGAGAGGCAAAAGATTTTTTTCGTAATGCATAATAAGTTTCACGGTTGTGTCACATTTCTGATTGGTGCAATTTGAGATGTCACAGTTGCCCCCAGTCTCCCCTACTAAATTTAGTATTCACCATATGGATGGTTGTGGTGGGACAGAGTCCTATACATAGCACTACAGCACTGTGCGCATACAGATGCACATAAATGCAAAGATCTTCAGCTGCAGCTGAAACAAACAGTCAATTAAAAACAGCATAAAGATCTTATAACATTCTGATGATCAATCAATTGTTTCTTAGCTGCTTTTATCTGTTGTATCTGACAGTAAATGCAGTATCTTTAGGTTTTGGACTGATAATTAGAGAAAACAGAATTTAAGGACATCACCTCTGACTCAGCATATTTCTTTTACTATTTTCTGATATTGCTTTATTAATTAAAAAACATCATCGACACATTAATCAATAATGTGAGTAATGTAAGTAAGTTTTTTCTGTTCTCAGTCATACCTGTTTCAGTTTAACACTTTCTGCGTCCCTTGCAGGTTCAGGGAAGATGATCAGTAGATGTGCAGGACAGTCTTCAGTCGGAGCTACACATGCTAACATCACACATCGTCACCTGATTTATAGCATGGCAGGCTCAAGTTCAAAGGGTAAGTGATCATTACAGCTCAGCCACCTTTGTGACTGACATCAGTGCACACGTGTTCATTAACAACAACAACAACACTAACAGTGACAGTTGTAACATGTAATGGACTTTGGGATACTGGGTCACATTGACAACTGCATATTTTTTATTTAAAAGATAACTGATGAATGAAGTCAAACCTTGTACTAATAAAAAATATGAAATGTTCTGCAGGAATGTTGTATTTCACATTATTTTTGTGGCACACCAAAACGTATTAGGCGGTGAAATGACATAGATGTGATGCTAAACATTTGTGGCAATACACTGACTTTTTTTTATATAAAATTTTCAAAAAAGGCAGAATTTTGTAAGACATTTACTCTTACACTCAGATCTATCCAGGAAACTGACTGCACCTGGGAGGAAGGTACACAATGTTCTGTTCAGTGTCCGCTTGTAAATCATACTTGCATGATAGATTTATGGAGATTATTTATAAAAATAAACCAAAGGTCAGCCTGTGTGACGAAGAAGTGAAGAGAATTGTTACCACAAAGTAAAATATAACATAAAATATAATGTAGAATGATGTATTTGATAGTTCAGGATGATAGTTTAAGCAGAAGTCTCATCATAACTACTGTTCATGATGTATGTTACACAAATGGGTTTTCCTCTACATGATGCCAATAATCCGTTTATCTAAATGAGAAAACCAGGGGCTTTTCCCTCTCATGGAAACATACAATGTATGCTAAAGGTTTTCTGTATTTTATGTGTCCCTTCTGTTGCGTCATCATGTGTGTAATCAGCGGGCTCAAAGTATCAATTGACTGTGTGTAACCACAAGTGAAACTGCCACATTGTACTCTGTAATGTTACATAATTTACACCGGCTGGCACTTGGTTGTGGATACTCGTGACATTTTTACTCCCTTGACTCAAAGCCACAGACTCTTTACCCAACCTTATTCACGACCTTTAAAAAAATGCTCAAGTATCACATAAAAAAAGTTGTTTTCAGCAGACTGGTGATGAAAACCGGAAAAAAACAAGTTGTTTGTAGGGACACTTAAAATACCATCAACACAACTTCCTTGCATCTCTGTCCCTCATAAATACCAACAACCATCTTCTGCCTTCAAAGCACCCACAGGAGGGCTGTGTATAATTCAAAGCAGACCTCAAAGCCTTGTAAAGCAAACATGGAGGGGAACTTTGTAATTATGAAGCACGTGGCAATACAGTATGCAGTCCCAGTGGTTATAGTGCTACTGCCACATTGTAGGGTACGCTATGTATACAAAAAATAAAGGAAACCTCTGTAGGGATCTCCAGCAACATAAAGAATGGTTTACTCTCACTTTTATATTAACTGGAAGAGACCAATATTAGTGTAAAGGATTAATGTTTTAACTCAAGTCCAAGTCATAACATATTTACAAAGGAATATCTCGTAAAAATGATCATTTCTGCCATAAACTAAAACGAACTCTTCACAGCCTCTGTGCACCAGTCAAGTTGCACTTACAGTTTACATCCATGTCTGTGAAAACATGTATGCTTCACACACATCTTCACCCATCAGTAGAGTTTCAAAGTGGGAGCCCAAGTTTAGCGTCACCTGTTCAGTATCTGACCAATGTCTCCCCGTCTCTTTCTGAGCTATGATGTTCAGTAATTGCCAGGAAGATTTTTTTTGCAGAACATTATGATGTCACAGTGGAGTTGACCTTTGACCTTTTGGATATAAAATATAAAATGTCATCACTTCATTATTGTTTCCTAACAGACATTTGTGTGAAATGTTTTCATAATTAATCTATGAATTCCAAGCATGTGGCCAAAACATGTTTTGTGAGGTCACACTGACCTTGACTTTTGACCACCAAAATCTGGTCAGTTCATCCTTGAGTCCGTTTGTGCCACATTTGAAGAAGTTCCCTCAAGGCCTTTTTGAGAAGTCATATTCATGATAATGAGACTGACGCAAGGTCACAGTAACTTTGGGGTTTGACCACCAAAATACATTCAGTTGATTGTGGATGCTTGCATCAAATTTGAAGAAATTCCCTCAAGGTGTCCTTGACATATTGTATTCACGAGAATGAGATGGATGCAAGGTCACATTGACCTTGACCTTTAAAACCCAACTAAGTTTATCCTTGATTCCAAGTGGCCATTTGTGGCAAATTTGAAAAAATTCCCTCGAGGTGTTCTTGAGACATCGCCTTCACAAGAAAGTGACAGAGAAGGTCCCAGTGACCTTGATGTTTGACCTTTAAATCTAATCAGTTCATCCTTAATTCCAAGTGGACATTTGTGCCAAATTAGAGAAAACTCTCTCAAGGCCTTGAGAAATCACAATGATGAGAATGAGACGGGTGCAAGGTCACAGTAATCTTGATATTTGACTGCCAAAATATCTTCAGTTCATCGTTGAGCCAAAGTGGATGTTTGTGCTGAATTTGAAGAAATTCCCTTACGGTGTTCTTGAGATATTGTATTCACAAGAAAGAGACAGACGGGGTTACAGTGACCTTGACCTTTGACTGCCAAAATGTAATCAGTTCATCCTTGAGTCAAAGTGGACGTTTGTGCTAAATTTGAAGAAATTCCCTCAAGGTGTTCTTGAGATATCATATTCACAAGAAAGAGACAGACAAGGTCACAGTGACTTCGACGTTAGACCTTTGAAATCAATCAGTTCATCCTTGATTCCAAGTGACCAACAAAATCAAAATCAGTACAGGTAGACATTTGAGCCAAATTTGAAGGAATTCCCTCAAAGCATTTTTGAGATATCGCATTCAGGAGAATGAGACGGACTACAACAGCACTTTACTTCAAACACAAACTTTTTATTTACGAAGACACAACACAATCCGTTAAGAATATCGTCACACAGATTAGTGTTTGACACTGAAGTCCACAAGTGCTGCCTGCAGTCTTTTCCGTCAATGTATTACATCTCACCACATATCTTAATAAAAAGGTAAACAAGAATAGATATATGCAGCTCTATTTCCAAAACTTTATATAAACAATGAATACATATTAGGGTGTTTTGTAATAAAGATATTGGCACTCACAGTATTTACTTACTTCTAATAATAATACACTGTACATTTTCCATGATTATACTGCCTGTGCACAACAGCACAGTCAAGGCCTTGCATTTTAAACTGTGTCACAACCTTTAGCACCAGGAAAGTAAAGAATTGTGCAAAGTCTGCTAGCCTGTAAAGCAAAAAATACAACATACGTGTCCATATGTAAACATTCTTTGATATTCTTAGAAACATTCATCAGGAGTGTCAGAGGAGAGCAACAATAATGGCTGCTCGTTTGGAGCTTTCAACCAGGCTACAACATGAGGTCCACCCCTGCTTTACTGCCGTATGAAGAGTTATCCAAAAATCACTTATCCAGCTTTTGGGTCAAAATAAAAGACATGATGGACACATAGGCTGTCCAACGTGTCCAAACGTTTCCTTAATCCTCACGAGTCACTCCAAAGCTCACTTCTTACTGTTTTTTCTGGCCACAGAGGACTGAATGAGTTTTTGGAAAACCCTTCATCTGACTACAGTACTAGAGTTTTGAAAACTGATAGTTCCTGTTCTCTTTTTTTGATTGGCTGACTCATGTTTGAAGCCGTTGTTTAACACACGCGTACACTTACACACACTTATACACACACTCGCACAAAGGTAAATTCGATGCACTTATCACAAATGACCTTACACCTAGAAAAGAGGCATATTGACTGACGGACAGATAACGTTCAACTAACACTAGGGCCATATTTTAGACTTTTTATTGGACAATATGTAATTTGTATTCAGCCAGTTTTGAATAAAGTGACTCACCTACTATTGTGTGTTTTTATGGCGTGTAATGACCATTATAATGGCCTCTAGGAGTGGGCAATATGACAATTTACAGTCAGATGATATATATTTGTCTCAAGGTTTTGCCATGCTGTTTAAACCTCTACAGCTCTTTAATATCCCTGTGTGCATTGCAAATCACCAAGCGGGACCACTTTATGGCAATATTGGATTTTTATATGATCTTTTGCATCAATATGATGAAGCACTTAGACTTCTTAGGTATTTAGTTTGCTGGGTCAGCCAGATACACACATTCCTCTCTGGTTATTTTATCCGTTAACGATTTCTCAATTGGCTTTTTTACAGAAAATGTTTCACAATAATGTCATATTAAATTGCGTATACTGTTAAAGAGGATTTTATATATATTGCCCACTCCTTATTTGCCCAAAACACATTGTCTTACTTAACACTAGCAGTTCCAAGCAACTGAGATAGGTTTGGTTTTTCATCCCCAACTGAGATTTATGCCATGAATGTAATGGATGTTAATGGAACACTGTTTGTTTCTCTCATAAGTTGTGAAAACTGGAAACAGAATTTGCAAATAGCCAAATTACTGTACCAAAACACAGCTGACACACAGGGCTTTTGGGGCCCCTGGGGGTCTGGGACACTTGGGGTAGTTCCCTCTTTTTGCCAGCTTGGGAGACAGATGTCACGAAACATAATTCAACCAAACTATCTGTGTGGCTACAAACCTCGGAAAAGGTGGTTCCCAAACTTTTATGTTTCCGACCCTTTCTCATTACAGGTCGCACATGCCAGTTGTTCCCAAGCTTTTCTTAAGATGCACCCTTGCAAGTCAAGTACCCCATCATCAGCATCAACCATCGGATTCCACGTGTTAGTTTGAATTTATCACTAACTGGGTATTATTTAACACTTGTGACAATATTTTTTCCTACATTTTTTTCATATATTATTACACTACTGTCATACAATTAAGCTGTCAATGTTTAGTTTGGTTTGGTCAAGTTTGCATTTGTTCTACCAGTGGCAGAAGCTGAACTAAAGCTTTTTCAACCATTAAGCTGTTACTTTTAGCTCATATTTCAGCAGCATATTCATTATTTTTACCTAACTCGTTCAGTCATTTAGCTAACTGTTTGAACTGCATGTACATTAGGCTACTTTTAGCTAATTTTTGAATATTTATCCCCTACTTTTAGGTAACATTTCAGATTTCTCTGCTCCCTTGCGAACTACTTTTTGCTAACTCATTTGCTACACAGTGTTCAAGGAACTACTAACTCGACACATCAGTTATTTTCTAATCAAACTGTTATTTAAACATTGTCAATATTTCCACGTACCCCCTGGTAACTACATAAGTACCTCCTAAGATACAAGTACCCCTGGTTGGGAATCACTGGCTTGTGCTATCCTTACTAACCACTAAGATAGTTTAATCTGAATAATTATCAGCAACAAAAATGGTCTGTGGAGTATTTTACAAGAAGAAAAGCAAAGCAAAATTCCTATCCCATTATCCATCTGGTGACCTCAGAAATATTTTGACCTGTTGGAGTGATCTGCATGGCTACATACCTCTCGAGCAGCAGTCCCCAAACATTTTTTGTGTCTGACCCTTTACTGCAGCAGTGCGTACTGCTCGTCATAGGTCACTTGTGACTATGAGTTGTGGCCAGTGAACGACTATGAAAGATTTTCCTGACTATTTGCTCTGATTGTTGGTGAAGATTCTCAGTAATCCAGGTCTTCAGAACTGAAGAAGAGCTTGGATGAGAGGTAAAACGTCTTCAAGAATCTCAAGCAAGTCCAGTTGCCTACGATATAGCACTTAAGATTTGTTCAGATGGTTTAATGTTAATAATTATCAGCAACAAAGAAGAATCCGTTGAGTATTTGCCAAGAGAAAAGGAGAGATGGTAGAAAAGTCACAAAAATTTAGTTTTTCATCTTTCCTGTCCCATTAACCTCCAGTGCTGGGGGTAACTAGTTGCATGTAACAGAGTTACGTTATTAAATTACAATATGAATTTACTGAGTTACATATACTGAGAAAAATTGAATTAAATTACAGTAACTTATTAAAAAAGTTGATTACAGAGGAATTATATCCGAATATATTCTTCTTGGTTCTGGACATTTCTCAGCTTTCTTGCCCAGTTAAAAACGTTTGTTAGAAAGGTTATCGAATCAAAGGTAATAAATTATATAACTTTGAAGAAGTAAGTAAAATAGGTCCATTACATACTACATTTTCAACAGGGTAACTAGTAATCTGTAACTCCTTACATTTAAGAAGTAACCTCCCCAACACAGTTAACCTTGTGTATTTTGACCCATTGGAGTGAACTCACCACTGCTCTCTAATTTAATGAGAAAATGTGTTTGTTCTTTTCTGTCCCATTAACTTCCAGTAACTAGTGACATATAACGGAGTTACCCAATTGTGTTAAAACATAAAATGAAATTGTAATAAGTTACAGATACTGAGAAAATGGGATGAAAATACAATTGCTTTGCATCGTTTTGCTGCGCAGTAATGTCTTCTGGACATTTTTCAGCTTTATTGCCCAGTTTAAAACACTTGTGAAGTAATCTAAAAAAAAAAGTAATGACTTAATTATTACATTTTTAACAGGGTTACTCTGTAACTCATTACATTTCAAAGGTAACCTTCCCAACACAATTAACCTCCTGTTTTTTGACCCATTGGAGTGAACTCAGGTTGGGAAAGCTCTAGAGTTAAGCGAGAAAATGTGTTTTGTTCTTTCCTGTCCCATTGACCTCCAGTGTTGGGGAGTAACTAGTTACATATAACGGAATTATGTAATTCAATTTAAATATAAATGTAATTGTGATAAGTTACAGATACTGAGAAAAAAATAATTAAATTAGACTCACTGATCAAAATGTTGGTGATAACAAAGGCGTTCCATCTAAAAGCGTGCATGTTATGACATTTATTCTGTTGCTTTGCATCATTTCACTGCACAGAAATATCATCTGAACATTTGTCAGCTTTACTGCCCAGTTTAAAACACTTGGTAGAAAACTAATCAAAACTAATCCAAGATAATAAATTATAATACTTTAAAGAAGTGATTAAAATAGGTACATTACATACCACATTTTAAAGGGTAACTAGTAATCTGTAACTCATTACATTTCAAAAGTAACCTCCTTTATTTTGACCCATTGGAGTGAACTCAGGTTGGGAACCACTGCTCAAGAGTTAAACCAGAAATGAGCCTGTTTCTGGACATTTTTCAGATTTATTGCCCGGGGATGATTTGTTAGAAAAGTATTCTAAAACTAATCAAAGGTAATATGTTATATTACTTTGATGAAATAAATTACATACTGCATTTTTAACAGGGTAACTAGTAATCTGTAACTCATTACATTTCAAAAGTCCCAACACAGTTGACCTCCTGTATTTGGATCCATTAAAGTGAACTCAGGTTGGGAATCACTGCTCTAGAGTTAAAGGAGAGAATGTGTGTGTGTGTGTGTGTGTGTGTGTGTGTGTGTGTGTGTGTGTGTGTGTGTGTTTTATGTGAACTGACCCTTTAAAGTTAAGTTTTTATCCCTGATATGTTTGCTCATTGTCTCACCCCAGCCTTGTGGCCACACACTCCACCATAGAAAAATAAAAATAGTACTGTAATGAGACGCGCAGGGACTACTTTCTCTCAGAACTTCATGTATTCGTTCTTCAGCCTGCTCAGTCTCGTGCCGTGGCTGCGGATGATCAGAGACAGGAGCTCGTGCTTGTCCTTCAGTCCCAGAGAAATGTCCAGCGTGTCCTTCAGGACGTCCCGTGTGTGCACGACCATGTTGAGAAAGTCGTCGCTGAGCCGGTGCTCCTCTTTCAGCTCGCTCTCCTGGCTCTGCTTGAATTTCACCTCCAGCTCCAGCAGAGACTTCTCCGAGTTTGTAAACGCCTCGCTGATCTGCCCCGTCTCCCTCCGCAAGTACTTCCCGTAGCTGTCCTCTCCGTCCAGGTCGTACGAGATGCTTTTCCCGATCCCCTCCAGCACCCTGGCCGAGTCCTCGATCTGCCTCTTGATGATGGTGAAATCATCCCGTATGACGGCGTCCTGGTCCTCGTCGAGACCGCACTTTCGGTCGTCGGTCATTTTGAAAAGCATCTGGCACTTCTCCGGGTCGTCGTTGTCCTCGTAGTCTCCGTCCGGCACGAAGTAGTGATGAAAGGTGCCGTTAGACATCTCCGGTTGCAACGGTCCGCGGAAGAAGGCTCCGCACATCGGCAGTGATAACATCCCGGCACACAGGAGCAAGTGAAGGAAAGCCATGGTGTCCACTTGCCCCAGCACACAAATATATGTATATAAAATAATAAAAATAAACTTTTAACGTGATTTCAGCGACAGAGTCACCTTGGTGGACTATTTAACTCCAACCCGGCGTAGAAACACAAACATTTCAATCAGGTTTAAACGTCCAAACTGCGCAGTTAAGATGAGGCTCCGATGCTTTCACGTCCTCCTCAGTCTCCTCTTTGTCCAAACAGATAAAAAGTGGCGTGAAAATGTTCAAACAAGCCTCGATTTGCTTCCTCTAATCGAGCCTGTCAACATCCATCATTAAAAGCAATGTATGAAAGTTTGTTTCAGCGTGGAAACAGTTGTAGTCCTGACTTCGCTCGGTGCCTCAAACGCAACATCTGGATGTCTCAAGTGCCGCGCTCCGGCTTTTTGGCTAATAATACCTCAGCGCTACTCTCAAATTACAGCCGCTCCGTCACTTTAAAAGGCTGCATTCAGCCTGCAGCAGCACCACCAGGCTGTTAAAGCCTCACTGAAACCAGTGTTAGGGTAACTCACACAACCGTGACGAGCTGGCGTTGATGGCTTGAGAAAAGTTATTGAGAAATACACAAGTGACCACATGTATAAAACTTGAAACGCACTCCAACACAGCAGTCCTGTAATTACAGTCCACTGCTTTTATAAAACGTATAATTTTTGAATACCTGACGACATGTGGCAGAAATTTGGATTTAACTGTATGTTGTAATTTCTGAGACTTATGTTGCTTTGTTGCATTTGATCGGATTGCTGTTTTTATTGTGAGTGTGTATGCATGATTTTGCCCCCCAAAAATAGCTTGGGCAAAACATTAGAGACAGCTTTTAATGTCCTGCCTTTTTCATTATTCTGTTGTACACAAAAACACAGAAAAAGACAAATTATTAGAAACAATCCTTGATATAATGCAACATACTCAAAAAGACTGATGCCTCTGTGATGCGTTGGATTATTTTTTTATCTTTTAAATGCAATGTGTACATATACTGCTTCTAATATGTTAGGCACATGTAGTCTGCATTGCACCTTGAATTTTATTTCTATTTATCGCATCTACTTGTTATGTATAGGACTACAGATTGAATATAGTGCTAAATCTGATGCAACCATGTTTTCATTTCTTGTAAATGATTGTCATTGCACACTGCCCTCCTATACATCAAATAAACTAAATGACAAGTAACAACAAAGAAAGAGTATTTATTACAGGACTAATCCTGTATTGGATTACATTACAATGTGCAGGGTTTTTCTTTCCCTGTCCCTAATAGTGCTTTAGTATTTTTTTTTACATCCTTATACGACATTTTTGAGGTAGTTGTTGTACTTTTCACTCAGATATAGGCAGAATTTGAATTACCGTAAAAATTATCTATTATTTACTTAAATCACTGAAATCAACAGGCCTATATATTTAGGATTGGCCTCTAATTCCTAAATTAAAACTGTTGCTCAGCAAAGATCGGAAATACAATCAACTTGTTTATTTAAACCAATATGAATATTAGTTGTATATCAATAATGAATCATTTATTTAACTCCAACAGACAGCGTCAGAGAGTTATTGAGGATTTAGGCACCCGGCATACCGACACAACACCACTTTATCCCGTTAAAACAATCCTCACAACTTGGATTAATTTCTATGAAAAAGTCTTTTGATTCTTTTTTATCTGAGGACCCCTACAGAGTAAAGGAATATGAATGACATACAGGGTTATCGAGGAACAGACAAATAATTTGAGGTTGCCAACAACCTGCTTTCATAAAAAGATAAACTGTCTGGCAACCAGACCAAGCGTCTGATTGAGACAGGTGCTTATTTATCAAAATGTGTACTCACACCTGGCGAGTAAAAGGGACCATGGTTCAATTGGGATTTATATTTAGCAGGACAGACAAAAAATGAGATGTGATGTGTAACAACAAGAGCTTGTATTCGTGTATTTGAAATACAAATCATACATTATGTAATATGGCATTTTATTCTCAAGTAAGACACATATTTATTCCCAGTTTTAAACTATAGAAAAAACAACAATTAGTCCCCAAAAGCCAACAACACTATGCTGAACGTCTTGCCGTACAACTGAAGAAGTGTAGACATCGTTACTAATGAAAGGATCCAGCGAGTGTCACATGGACGATGAGGTCATGGCCCTTTCACGTCGCATTTCCATGGCGATCAACTGAGAATCCTCCCTAGAAATACCAAAAGTGAGTCAAGCTGAACCACACAATGGAAATGAGGCATTTGACTGACAGAAACCACCCAGCATGCACCCCTGAATTCACAGCCACCCACCTCCAAGATATCCTGATTGATGTAGGAAATTAGCAGAGCTCATTTTTTTCATTGTAGGGAAGTTAAAGTCAGACTCATACTGGGGCTACTAAATGCCTAAAATGAGACTGTTACACTTTACTTTAAGTACATTTTGTTCATAACAGTCTTGTTTCTGAGTGTTGTCATAATATGTTATTGTACTTTATATTCACATATTTCTGAAAACCTTTAAACTGTTATTAACTTTGTGGATAAGCTGCTCAAAAGAAGCTGTCTCACCAGCTCCTCACTCCATTCTTTAAAGCTGATCCTCTCTTTTGTCTTCCAGTGTCTCAGTCCCGTCCTGTTCCCTGTGATAAGAGCATACTTTCGAGGACAGGTTAGTCTGCGTTGGTAAAATGCCCGGTACACATAATGCTGGACCTTCAATGAGGTCTGTTTCCAGTATATTCTTAATATATTTGACAATAGCTGACCAGAAGTCAGGCACCATTTTACATTCATAAAGCATGTGGACCAATGTGCCCGTGTCTTTGTTGCCTCTCCAACAGCTCTCATCCTCCCTAAGCCCATGTTATTGTGATTTTTATCTAAGCAAAGAATCTGAATACATCTTCCTCCACTGCCTATAATACAGCCAAGAACAAAAGGAGGCTACATCAGTTATTTACTGTTAGAAATATCTACTATTTGGGGCAACAGGTAGAGTGTGCGCCCCATATAGGCTGAGTCCTTTTCAGCATCCTGGGTTTGATGGGTTTGTGTCATTACCATTTTCTCTCCCCCTTTCCTGTACTCTCCAGCTTCACCTTATACCAACTCTTCCTAAGTACAGTGGTTAGCATTGTCGCCTTACCCGCAAGAGGGTTCCTGGTTCGAACCCAGGGTAGAAGATTTGAACCTTGTGCAGAGTTTGCATGTTCACCCTGTGTCAGCGTGGGTTTTCTTTGGTTACTCCGGCTTCCTCTCACAGTCCAAAGACATGCAGGTTAATTGGTGACTCTAAATTGTCCTTAGGTGTGAATGTGAGCGTGAATGGTTGTCTGTCACTATGTGTCAGCCCTGTCATAGTCTGGCGTCCTGTTCAGGGTGTACCGTGCTTCTTGCCCAGTGTCAGCTCGGTTCCAGCCCCACTGCGACCCCTAACAGGATAAGTGGTTAACAAAAATGAATGAATGAATTTATTCCTACCAACAGATGAAACTTAAACAAGAATACAGTTTTGGTCACAGACTATATTAATTAACATTATTGAGGGAAAACTCTGAATGAAACAATGAATGAATGTTCATCAAAAAGCTTTAAAATGGATTGTGGGGTCCCCCAAGGTTCAATTTTAGGCCCGACACTTTTCAATCTTTACATGCTGCCACTTGAAAACGTCATCAGGAGGCACAGCACCAGTTTCTATAGTTATGCTGATGATACTCTGCTGTACATCACTGTGTCTCCTGATGACTCAGGGCCAGTTGGTGCCCTTTTAAATTGTATTTTGGACATCAAGTCCTGGATTGCAGAAAACTTTCTTCAACTCAACCAGGACAAAACCGAGGTCTTATTGGTCCTGAAGGTCAGAGAGAGAAACTCAATGCAAAACTAGAAGAGCTGGCACTAAAACCCTGTCAACAAGTGAAAAACGTTGTTGTTATCTTTGATTTGAATCTTAGTTTTGAACCACATATTAGAAGTATAACCAAAACTGGATTTTATCATCTTAAGAACGTTGCCAGAGTGTGATTGTTTCTCTCTTAAGCTAACAGATACACTGATGCATGCTTTTATTACCAACAGAGCTGATTACAGTAATGCTCTACTTTCTGGTCTTCCTCAGAAAAAACATTGCTCAGTTACAGTTATTACAAAACTCAGCTTCACATGTGCTGATGAAGACCAGAAAGAGAGCACACATTACATCAGTTTTAAAATCTCTGCAGTGGCTTTCTTTGTGCTCCAGAATTGATTTTAAGATCCTTTTATTGGTTTATAAAGTTCTTAATGGCCTTAGTCCTACCTATTTATCAGATTTACTTTTGGTTTGTATGAAAAGTGCTATATAAATAAAGTTTGATATTGATTTGATTGATTGATAATGGACCAGTAGTTGTAGCATATGTTCATATACATAATACAGCGTTAATATTTCTGTCATAATGACTAATAAAGAGTCAGTATGCTACTAACATGCATGCTAATAAGCAACTACTAAATGGTGAATATGTGAACCTCAACACAAGTTGTTAGCAAAATGTTAAGGTGGCCTTATTCATTTTATTTAACAATATAACAAAGTGTAAAAGTTGTTATCTTACAGCAGAAATAATGTAACAAAGCATGTGTCTGGCTTGTGTTGTTGGCAGCTCACAGACTACAAGCTGAGTCAGGAAGCATGTTCACTGAGCTTCCTTTAACATAGTGGTGACCACCTGTTCTGAAGTCGCCTCCTGGCGTCAAATTACAGTTTAGTTGAAAGAAAATAGAAATACATGTGATGGTCACCTGTTGTGTTATGACAGTCAAAGAGCTTTGTTACAGCCTGGACCTGTAATTTGTCTCGACTACGCTGTTTTTAACTGCACTTACTCTGGAATCAAAAAGTTGTGAAATGTTTCGTCGTCCTGAAACAGCGTGCCAGTAGTGCAGAAGACACATTAAAAATGCTGATCCAAGAAATGCCATTCATATGACATGATAGTGCTTTTTCCAGTACTCCTAAGCTGCTATATTCATAAAAGCAATGCCCCAAGGGAGGAATAAATATGATCTTATATCACAAGAACCAACATGTTAAGAGCGATCTAATTTGCTAAACCCACAATTCCACTCAATGTGAGCATAATCTTTCCAGTGGAAACAGCAGACGTTACACCATCACCTACCTCTGAGAAGTCCCGCTCATATTTTTCCACTGCATGAGTGATCACTCAGGGTTGTGACCTGCATAAATTAAAGCTTCAGCAGAGCAGAACGAGTTTTAAGTGGTAAATTTATTTTTAAATATAGGTTTATATCTCCAGTTTATTTATAAATTATCCTATTATATTCAGGGGCATAATTTATAGGCGAGACACAGGGGACATGTTCCTTGCACTTTTGCAGAGGGCAGC